TCAAATGTTTCAAACAGTCATGCATTTATTTACACGTTTGACATTCTACCTGTAAGCTGTCATCCCTTTGTTCACGCAAACGCTTCAGTTCTTCATCTTGCCTTTTTAACTGATTTGTGCAAACGTGATTCTGAAAATGTGAACTGATTTCATTGTAAAGAAATCACGAAAGTGATACCTGAGTCGTTTAGCGTTTTGAAAAATAACTGGTCGATGGTACACTAGTTTTTAAGAAATCAGCATTTAATTCGATGTATATCGTGAATAATTCAACTAATCCAGCGTGACGCACTCATTGTTAAAATACATCAAAGAAGGCATTAAATAATTCTGACAGGTGACAAATGATGCAGTATTAATCGCTCGATTGAAATTCGAATGAAATCAATCGCGTGCAATTCATAATTCGTTTTAGTCATAGCAAATTCGCTTTAATCTTGTTAGCAATTTTTCGATGAAATTATTGAAATTTTTCAGTAAACATTTTTTCGTAACCAAGCGTATTACTTAAAAGCGTTAAATAAAGTCAGTATAGGAGACGATGCGCTAAGGAAGTGAATGATGAGGTATCATTAGTTCAACAAGGTAGTCATAACATCCACGTGAATTTACAAGATTTTGTGAATACAATGCTTTTTTTTCAAAAACAGTTTTTTCACCCCAGATATATAAGTGAAACTTTGAAATCAGTAGTTCATCTTGATGAAGTTCAGTTAATAAGTCAGCTTGCAGCAGCGGTGCTTCTATTTATAGAAATTAAATCCCTCCTTAAGCATAATAGAAATCTTTTCCAGATATTTCGCTAGTAATTAAAACCTATAAATTCATTCATCTGATACCAAATGTATCATTCTAACGATAAGTGCCGAATAAGAAATCAAATTCCGTTAGTTCGCAAGAGTTTGTATCTGACTATTCATTTTCTTGATATGCAAATGATTCACTTGTACTTTTTACTAACTTCGAAATTAATGCCTATGAAAGTAATATGTGCAGAGAAATAAAATTTATGGAGCACAGAAATCAGTCATGAAATAAACGATCGCTTTCTAGTGAAATGACACTAAATTGAAATAGACTTCTGTCAGCACATGACTGATTACCTTTATAAAACTAATAACTCCTAATTAGAATTTTCACCTATCGTATATTAATTCGAAAAGCGACTTGTCCCTTTCAGTTGAGCTTCATGTGTTAATGAAACCGGGTGGCAAAGGAACAATTCAATCT